TATCATCGACTAGCAATTTATCTTTCACTATGCTCAGTAGACAATTAAAACATGACTCACTAATATTAAGCTCTGATTTACAATTTAAAGTTTAGACATAGCAGAGAGATTGTGTGCTTTATATAGCCTAATTGCAACAATTCATCCATATTATTTAACAAAGAGTAGAACTTGGTGCGTTTACACTTGGATTTTCATCAGATGGTTCTCTTGCCTCACTGGCATTCATACTTGTTCACTTATCGTGTTCCACCCCAAAATTAGGACAAACAACATCTAGAACCATTCTACTATAGGAATTTTCTATTCTTATTCGATTTAAAGGTATATTTGTTATTAAATAAGCTTGTCCTACTTCTAACTCCCCATGTGAGACCCAACTCGTATAACCTATTGTAAACCCTTTTATAATAAAGGCACTTACTCACAGCATCTATTTTTAAAAATCTTTTATTCTCACATTCAGCATAAGAGCACTTAATCTTCTCATTACTAATAAAGTTTGGTTGAGAATAAGCATATCCAATAAATTTCTCCACACCATCATAAAAGTTTTGAGTAATGTATCCATTAACATATAAACGAAAGTATATCCAAAAACAATCTTTGTCCATTATTGACTCATGATTAAATTGAAATATAAGTAATTAAAGTCATATAAAGTGTTAAACCTTTTTATTGATTGACCATATAAGCAATTATTGCTATATTAAACAAAATTATCTAAACGATAATATGAGGTAATTATTGGTCTACTTTAACAAATAGTCCATCAATGGCATAAAAGGTCTTGCAAAAATTCATCATACATACCATAAGATAACACATGCACAACAAAATATTATTGGTTTTAATGACAAAATTTTACTTTTAATCTTCGCCTTCTTAGTGCAATTTCGTCGATTTTGTGGAGAATTTCTCTTATCGAGGCACTTCTATGTATGAAGCTTGTTCTACTTTTAAAATAGGTGGAATGAAAATAAAGCAAGTTGTATGATGAAATGAATAAAAATCATATTCACAACAGATATACAACCATCTAAACTCACATTCACGGATAAATTATGAAATAAGAATAAAATAGAATAATTTAATTATTTATATTCAATTTGATCAATACAATAAAACAACAATATTTCAATAATTAATAATATATAAATTTCACTAAACTATCAAATATATAAATTAATTCAAACAAATATAAATTACTTCAAATATATATATATATATAATTAGTAATATATAAATTATAACTTCAAATTAACATAATAATTTTAATTTCTATAATTATTATTAAAATTTAAAAAATATTAAATATAAAACATCTATCAATATATATATAAATCTTAAGCCACATCAAACCCAATTAACCAATATAAATCTTGCACATCTAAATGTTAATAAATCTATAACAAAATCCAACAAATCTCAACAAACTTTCACAAATAAAAATAATTACTTAACAAATAAAATAAATTCTCCAAACAATACTAAAAATAAATTTCAAAAATTTAATAGTACTTAACATTAATACTGAACAAAAATCCAACAAAATATATAACTAGCAAATTTCAACAAATATATAACCAAAACCTAAACAAATTTCAACATATATAGAACCAACAAAAACTCAACAAATTGGTAACTAAAACCAAACAAATTTCAACAAATTTATAACAAAAAATTAAACCCTAAACTCAACAAATATACTACATAAAATACATCATAAAATAAAAATATTTTTTAAATAAACTTATCGGACGAGAGGGGTGACTTGATCAATCGACTGCACAGTTGGATAGTGAGAAAGAGCAATAGCGATGGTGGGGAGAAAGAAGGGAGAGGGGGAGAGGAGAGAGGAATTAGAGATTTGGGCTTGAAATCATGGGGAAATGATGTTGCCCAACATGGGGGATTCAATTTTTTTTTAGCGACAAATTTACTGATGGAATTTCTCTTGGTAATGTGTTATTTTTTTTTCAAATTCTTTTACCGATAGATTTAGCAATGAATTTTTGTGGTAATGTCAATTTTTTTTGTAAAATTTTTTTACCAATAGATTTTTTGTTGCTAAATTCGAAGGAAACTTTTACTGATGAAAAATTTCATTGATAAAATTCATGGCAATTCTCACCAAACTATCATCTACGGATTACCGACAAATTTAATTTCAATCTGTAATTTGTTAGTAATCCATTGGTAAAAGTTTTTTTTAATTCTATTGGTAATCCATCAATATTAAGCGATGAAAATTTTCATTAGTAATAGCTAAATTTCTAGTAGTCAGACAAAATATAGAGAAGTGACATTCCTAACATTGACATGAAATAAGCAGTTATTTCATTCCAAGTTACTCATATCATGTCAGTAACGGATCTTGATACTTAATTTTTGAAGGGGTCAACTAATTCTATATTTCTTTTTCTTAAGACTTCTAATATTGGTGTGTGTATATATATATATATATATATATATATATAAACAATATTTTAATAATAAGTAGTAAGGTCATAAACTTATAAATAAAATATTTACTATGACAAAATTTAATTTTAAAGAGTACCAATATTTTCAAATTAATGTAAAATATCTAACTAAACAATCTTTCAATGAATTAGGAAAGTTTTTTTATTATTTTGAGAATTTAAAATTAAAAAGTAAAATAAATAATTTGTTAAACAAGTATTTTTTATCGAAATAAAAAATAATATACTTTTTGAAAGAATGAGGCCGAAATTTTGAGATTCAAAGTTATGATCAAATCTTCTATATAATGGTTTTATTTTTTTTTCTTTTTGAAAAATAAATTGCAAGGCAACATGATATAAAGATCTAGAGTAAACTTAAAATTTAAAAAAAATTATATGAGATGAGAAATTATAATAAATTATAAGAAAAGGGAAAAATTATATGATTTTAGTCTTTCTTAAATTATAATGCATAAAATTAAATTATGAAACTAAAAAATAAATAAATAATATTAGAATTAAATATAATAAATATAGAATAACAATATAATTTTAATCCTTCTTAAATTCCAATGCAAAAATAAATTATGAAACCAAAAAATTAATAAATTAATAAATAAATAGTTCTAATTTAACAGATGCCAATATATATGTATATAAGGTTTTCGAAACTTTAAGGGGCCAAGGCCCCCACAAATTTAAATGACGGTCTGCTTCTATATCATGTTATCTTTTATATTTAAGGAAAAAAAACTTATTCCATGATATCAATCAATACTATATTTATTAGCAACTGATAGCCACCAATCAAGAGTGTGGCTGCATTTTAAGTTCATTAAACACACTTTTGCAATCCACTTTTTGGAAACCGTTATGTTATTGGGTTTGTTATTTTCTTTAGCACAATTGAATATATGTATAAGGTACTTCTGTATTTCTTGATTAAATATGTAATCCACAAGACAATAAAATGAGTATTGAAAGACTATCTTCATATTTGTGCACAGTGTCTTCCCACCAATAGGTATTTCAATTTGCAAATTTCTTTCGTCTTTGATTATGATAAAGGCTTAATATATCAGTTTTTCAAATTCAATAGTCTGACTGTTAACTATTATCATGATTGTGTTGCCATGTTACCTTAATCTTTATGCCAATTTCTTCTTTGGAAATAGTAAATTGATTTTTTTCAAGTATGCATTGTTTTGTAAATGAGTCTCAATATACCTATCATTGTAGTTCTATAACATGTTCATGTAATAATTGCCTAGCAACTATGCATGCCTTGTTGCTTATTTACACAATTTTAGTTATTCATTTCTTACCACATAAATTTGATGCACTTATATTAAAAGTAGATCTTTGTATAAAGTTTCACGTACAATATTTGATCTATTGAAAAAATCTCTTCATGTTATTTTTTGTTAAACTTTCTTCTTTTATTCTTTGGCATGCATGTCTTTTTGGTCTAGATGAACGGAAATTATATTGTGTTTAACAACTGGTACATATGAGTAGCAAATTCTAAATACAATGTCATGTTCCAATTTCTCTTGGTAGGTACTCCTTTCACTTGAACATGACAATTGAAATAAGCAAAGAACAATGTTTCATTAATGCTTGACTATCTTTTCTAGAAAAGTTAGTCTTATACTTCCTCTGTCCAATTTTCTTTGTTCATTTTTCCTTTTTAGGATGTTTCAAAATTATATCTTATTTCCTTTTTGAACATTTAAAATTCTTAAATTTTTATATTTTAAATTATCTTTATGATTATTTTAATTTTTAACGTTAAAATTCATGAAATTATAATTTTTAAAAATAAATTTTAATCTTAATATTAAATACATTAAACTCAAACTTTTTTTTAAACTCCGCAAAAGTCAATATAAAAAAACAAATAGGGATGGAAGGAGTATTAGTTTTGTCTTTTAAGAGCATGTTTATATAGCTTTAAATATTATTTCCAAAATACCTTCAAATTATCTTTACGTGATTATGTATGTGGCTTTAATTTTTTTTAATATTGTTAATTGTTATTGTTGTTGAACAATAGCAAGGAAAACTATTTATGTTTATTTTCATCATTTATTCATCTTATACTTGAAAATTTCGTTAAATAGAGTTATACTAATAAATCTTTATGTTTTTTTTTTTCAAATTTAAGTCTGACCATTGTCAAAAGATTATTCTAAAATTAAGTTAGTAATAATTATTATGCTTAGTTGAAATATTGATTTTTTTTAATAAAAATTTCAGCCTATATATCCATATACTACTTCCTGGATAATTAAAGTTTGGGTCGCATATTCATTATAAACTGACGGACCAAATATATACGACATAAACCCAAATCTAAGGGCTTATTGGTTGGACTTAAATTAACGGCGGCTTACATACAAATTGGAATTCTTCCGTGATGAATTAGGAAACCGACCTAATTCAACAAGTTTATATAAAACGTACGTAACCCTATACCACCATTGATTAACTAGTCGTTTAAGTTCAGAGAAGAAGAAAGAAAAGTATAGAATGGAGGTGAAAGGAGTGAAGCTTAAGGTCCTTGGGAGGGGAGCATATGGTGTGGTACATTTGGTGGAAACGACTTCTCCTTGTTCTGGGCTGTTTGCTGTAAAATCTGCTCCTTTAACAAAGTCTTTTTCTCTTTCCAAGGAATGGGAAATATTTAAAAAGTTTATAGGTTGCCCAAATATTGTTCAATGTTTTGGTGGTTTCACGAGTTTTGAACGAGATGGGGGGTATTTTTATAACTTATTTCTTGAATATGCATCTGGAGGTAGTCTCTTGGATTTGATGAACAAGTATGGGGGCAAAATACCCGAATGTGATGTGAAGGATTATGCAAGAATGATTCTTGAAGGGCTTGTTGACATTCACAACAGAGGATACATCCATTCTGATCTTAAACCAGAAAATATTTTGGTTTTTCCATCTCAGACCGGTTCTGATTTGAATACTTTAAAGATTGCGGATTTCGGGTTAGCTAGACAATGTGGGGAAAAAAGATATTCCACAACTTTGGGAATATGGTTTTCGAGGTACAGCAGATTATATGTCACCAGAATCTGTGATGGGAGAAATCAGTGGTGCATTGGATATATGGTCACTCGGTTGCATTATTGTTGAGATGATTAGTGGGAAAATGCCATGGAACTATAGCAACCTGAAAGATTTGAAGAAACAAGCTTTTGAATGGAGAATCACCCAAAATCCCAGAAAAACATGTCAAGTATTGGGAAGGATTTCTTAGCAAAGTGTTTTGCTAGGGATCCCAAGCAACGATGGATGGCTAATATGCTGTTAAGCCACTCTTTTCTTATGCCAGAGTTCAGCTTTTTTTCGTATGGAAGCAATCTCCCACAACTCTTCTCAGCCCTTTCTTCAACAATTTTTGACGAGGACAAATCGTTAATCCAATCCACAAAGAGTTTCCAAAAGGATGACAAATTCGGACCAGAAGGAGATTTGGTTGAAAACTTAAGGTTGCAAGTAATGAAGATGGGCGTCTAGGAATATGGTGCAAATTGAAGAATTCAAAGGCATAATCAACATGCAGATGAAACCTGAAAAAGCCACCCTCTTCCTCTTGGTTATGTTGCAACCAACATGTTATCAAAGTAGACC